ATGGATGGACTGCCTCAGAGCCAATTTCTCTGCCTCACTGGGACATCTTGAAGAGCGAAGATCGTAAGGCAGCGTTGAGCTACCTGGAGCAGCTGGATCCTGACGTGATGGTCATTGCATGGCCCTGCACTGTTTGGAGTCCGCTTCAAGCCTTTGGGAACAAGTCCCCTTGGCAGCTGAAGAAGTTGGAAGAAAGAAGAGAGGAGCAAAGAGAAATCCTGGGCTTCGTGAGAGACGCAAGTCATGACCAGAGGAGGAGGGGAGGCTTGTTGATTGGCGAAAATCCAAAGCCATCTCTCGCCTGGAAGGAGCCTCTCATCATTGAGGCCTTTGATGGAATGGGCTCCACGATCACTGACATGTGTCAGTTCGGCCTGCGACTCCCATCGGCCGGACCATTCCTTCGGAAGAGGACACGACTTGAAGGTACGCCAGCACTGGTCCATCAACTTGGTCGCCTTTGTCCAGCAAAACATGAGCATACTCCAGTGCTCGGAGGCATGCGATACAAAGGAAAGTGGATGAATGTGTCGGACTATGCTGGAGGCTATACGAGCCAATTTGCCAAGGCAGTGATCGAAGGAGCTGAGAAGATCCTGAAAGAGGAAGGAAGAAGCCCTGAAGTGCTGGTGGCAGGTCCCTCTTTCCCTGAAGAAGATTTGGAAGAGGAGCAGGAGGAGGAGAAAGTGGCAAAGGTTGAGAAACCTCAGACGTGGAGGATCAAACAACTCCATCAACGATTGGGGCATCCCACCAATCGTACCTTGTCGAAGATGCTGTCACTGGCAGGTGCATCGAAAGAGACAGTGGAGAAGGTGATGAACTATGAGTGTCCCACCTGTCAAGAGACTCAACCTCCCGGGAGGTATCTCAAAGCGAGTCCAGAGTTGAGGACAACAATCTTTGGAAAAGAGCTCCACTGTGACCTGAAGTACCTCCACGACTCCAAGAACAAGTTATATGTGGCATTGTCGATGGTTGATGGAGCCACATCTCTACACCAAGCTGTCTTGCTTCGCAATCGTGCAGCCGAGCACGTGGCCCAGAAATGCTTACGACACTGGATCTCAATCCACGGGGCACCACAGACTATGATCGTGGACCAAGGAGGAGAATTCGATGGCCAGTTCACGTCTTTCTTGGAGCAGCATGGAATCCACAGCAAGTCAAGTGGTGCAAAATCAGCTTGGCAACACGGCTTCGCTGAACGGCGTGGAGCACTCCTCGGCACTATGTTCACGTCCCTGGCTTGGCAGTATAAGGTCGAAGGAAGAGCTCAGGTGAAAGATGCTTTGTGCGCTGCAGTTCAAGCCAAGAACTCAACCATCACCCGAGGAGGATACACACCCTACCAACTTGCCTTCGGTCGCCAGCCCCTGTTCCCCGACTTGCTGGAGGAGGATGTTGAGGGCAACATGTCACTGAGGGAGTCTCTGTCCCTTGAAGGAGAGGTGCAGCGGGCTGCAGAGATGAGGGCTGCAGCCAGGGCCACATTGCTTCGAGGTGATGTTCAGGCCAAATTAAGAAGAGCCCTACGAAGATGGCCAAAAGGCCAAGAGAGAGATTTTGAGCCAGGAGAGATGGTGTACTTCTATGCCCCGAAGCCTCTCAGCACACGATTCAAGAAAGAGCCTGGCTTTTGGAGAGGACCAGCCCTCGTGATCGCAAAGGAGTCTCACCAGCGCTTCTTCATCAGCTGGCGAGGAAGATGTTTGCTAGTGTCAACTGCCAATCTAAGGGCAGCTTCCAATTTGGAAGGGGGCGATCACCGCAAGAGGCTGCAAGAGACGGAGGAATTCCAAGGTCAATGGCAAGGAGATGACAAAAGATATGAAGACATGACAGAAGCTCCCATCCCAATCGAAGAGGAAGTTACAGCAAAGGAGGCACAAGGATGGGAAGCGCATGATGGCATCATCTCCCAACGCCTGGGAGGAAGGCCCAAGACGAGAGCAAAGGAGATAGCCAAGACCCTGAGAGGTATGAAGACGATAAAGACCATCCAGAAGCACAAGATGAAGAAGGATGATCGCTTGCAACTGGATGGCAGCCAGGACAAACAGCTGAAGACCACGGAGCCGAAGGAGAAGTCTGAAGAAGAAAAGGCAAAAGAAAAGAAGATAAGGGCTGAGTATGAAGAAAAGATGCAGCAAGTTCAAGAAGGCTTCAAGAAGTGGCTGGCTCAATCCGAAGAAGAAAAGTTCCAAGATCGGCTCAAGCAGCACCTACTGGATGATGTTCCTCAGCAGTTCAAGAAGCGACCAGCCGAGGAGACACCAGGTCAAATGACCGAAGATCAATTGGCCAAAAGATTCAGACCATCGTTCTTCTCCTACACGATGGTGGCCACCATCCAGAAAGGCGAAAGGAAGAGAGCCAATCAATGGGCTTCCAAAAACGAAGTCAAGAAGCTTCGAACCCTCCTCGACTTGCCCATTGCCAGTGCCCGCTTTCACTTTGGGGCACGCAAGAGGTTTCAACGGCCTGTGAACCAGAAGGGCATGGCACGAGTGACGGTGATGATGGGAGAGAAAGAAGGAATGGCTCTGGTGAGTCAAGAAAGCAAAGAAGAGGTCAAGAAACGGCCAGGAAGGAAGACTCCATACCTATGGAAGGGGGTGACACTCTTCCTACACCAAGAAGACACCAAGCCACCGGCAAAAGCCCAACCGGTGGTGGTTGAACTTCCTGATGGCCTCTACGAGGTGATGGTGACAGATGCTGAAGAATGGAACTACCTGGCCAGAGGCGAGATCGAAAACCAGGCCTTCTTTGAGGCCCTTCTCCTCCAAATGAAAACCAACGGGAAGGAGCTCGATCCTCGCTTCTTCAACCAAGAAGAAAGAAAGGGCTTCGAAGAAAGTGATCGTAAGGAGTGGGAATCCTGGGTGAAGAACCAGGTTATCCGCCGCCTGAGCCCTGATGAAGTCAAGGAGGTGGACAAGAAGAATATTTTCAAAGCCCGAGCCCGCATCGTCCGGGTAAACAAAGGAGCCATGCATGGGCTGTTCCAGCCAAAGTCGAGGATGGTGATCCCTGGCCACTTGGATCCACACCTGGGGCAGTTCAGGTCGGATGCACCGACGTCGATGTGGGTCTGTGTGCAGTTGGCCAAGGCAGTGTGTGCATATAAACACTGGATGGCCCTCACCTTCGATGTCACGACGGCTTTCCTTTCAGGAAAAGAGGTCGACAGAGAAGTGCTGATTCGTGCACCTCCTGAAGGCCTTCCAGCACTTCCAGAACATGGTGAAGCAGCCGTCAAGCCGGGAGAGCTTTTGAGGGTGGTCAAAAGTGCCTATGGGCTCTCAGAAGCCCCACGTCTCTGGTATCTTCGAGCCCGAGAGCTCTTGCTGGAGATTGGCTTTGAAGAGTTGGCCATGGCAAAAGCTACCTTTGTGATGAGATCAAAGAAGAACCAAGAAGTGCAGGCGATCCTCTGCCTCCACGTCGATGATGGCCTCCTGGTTGCAGCACCCAGCCAAGCCCAGAAGATCCGCCAGGCGATCAGTGAACGATTCGCCATAAAGGAATGGAAGAATTTGGCGGAGACAGCAGAAACCTTCCTAGGGGTCAAGACCACCTACAAGGACCACACCTTTGAAGATGACATGACGGAGTACATCAACAAGGTGGAATATGCTCCAGAAGAAACGGAGCAGACTAAGGCCCTGGAAGGAAAACAGCTGTCAGCCTTCAGAAGGCTAATCATGCAGTTGAGGTGGCCTGCACACCATGTCTTGCCCGAATACCTGTTCCGGGTCAGCGAGTTGGCACAAAGGGTGGGCGAGGCCAATGGTGGTGACTTGAAGTATGCCAACAAGGTCCTCAAAAGCATGAAGGAGACGGCCTCTGAAGGAAAGGCCAAAACAAGAATTCCTCCAATGAAGGGAGAGCTGCTCCTCGTCTCCTACTTCGATGCATCTCTTGGTACATCCAAGAGTGGCCAACTCAGCAAGGAGAGTTGCACCTGCTGACAAGCACAGATGCCTTCCACAAGCCAGCGCCAGCTTGCATCTTGGAATTCCATTCCAACCGCATCCGAAGAGTTGTCAGGAGCAGCTTGGCAGCCGAGGGATGTGCAATGTCCAGTGCAGGCGATCGTCAGCTTTTCAACAGGGTGATCGCCGATTCCTTCCTGTTCGGCAAGCTGGACATCAGCTCCAACTGGCGCCGTGAGATCCGCACCAAAGGATGCTTGATCACGGACGCCAAAGGTCTACATGACCACCTGCATAAAACAGGTGGAGTTGCCACGGAACGCCAGGCAGCCTTGGACATGCTGCTGATGAAGCAACTCATCGAAGATGAGGTGGTGGGTTTGAAATGGACACCCACTTGGCGGCAGCTGGCAGACCCCTTGACCAAGGACATGTCAGGGTCACTCCTTGCGGTCTTCAAGGAATCGGCTGAGATCTGCTTGATCCAGACCACCAGCGATGCCAAGGAAGAAGAACGAAGGGCAGGCATCCGCCGAGCCCAAAGGGAACGAAGAAAGGAAAGGATGAAAGTCCAGAAGCTCCAACGCCAACGTCCTCTTTCCCCGATGTGACTTTGAGGATGTGCATTTGGTGCTTGACGTTGGAGCCTTTTTCACTTGGTGGCGCCGCTTTCGCTTTTTCACTCGAAGGCATCTAGATGACCGCACGCGCTTTGCAAAACAGGCATTGCTGCACTTGCTTGCTTTTTCGCTTTGGCCCACACCTGGTTCTTTCTGATTTGCTTTCAGTGGACCCTTCGGTTGTTTTGGGATTGGGCCTCCCACGAACCCACATATATAAGTATTCAGGTTCAGGGAATCTCCCAAAATCTTGGGATGATGGCTTGACAATATGATTTGAAATTGGGACTGCAGGAGATGCAGTAAGCTGGGAATCCTTCCGACAGTTTCTGGTGCTGCTGCTGTGGATTTTGTTCCGTGCTTATGCAGTCTGATTTGATTCCATGCATGGTTACTTCAGTGGCTGATGGAAATGATAAAGATTACATCGTGCTCCAAGTTTTTGCTCGTGCTGGACATGGCACACCTTGGATTGACATCAACTTCGAAGCACCCAGTTGGCAGCTCAGTTTGGTGTTTAGCGGCCTAGCTGCTGGTTGTTGAAGAGAAGAACCCGCGGGTTGGCATGGAGGCTTGGTTGGATTCGTCTCCGCTGACCTATGGCATTGGATGAACGGGATTACTTTCAGCAGCTTGTGACCTTGGCATTGCTGAAAGCCTGTTGTCCTTGAAAAGCCCACGGCTCAGAGCCAAACTTAAGCCACACAATTTCCTGTGTGTTGCAGCCTGACAGCACCAGCCAAAGGCCGCCCTTGTGAGCAATTGTGCAACAATATACGGTGCAAAGTTGTCAGCGTGCATGTGACACTCTGACGAACTTGTGGGCTTAGTGCACTTGTCACTTGTCGGACCATCAGAGAGCTCGTAGAAGCTAGTAAGCCTGTGGAGCCAGCAAATTGGGACCTCAAAAATGCCGAGGTCATAGCCATCCTGATTCTTTCCCTTCAATACCAGGACCATCCAGATGTGGTATGTGAGCGCCCCAAGCTGACACATTTAAGAAGACATCAGAACATTGCATGTCCGGCATTTGGCGCTTTTATTCCTTTTGAATTTCTCCAGACTGAGGCTCATTTTGGTAATTGATCTTGCAAGCACCGACCTAAGTTGTCCTTCTTAAGAACTTGATCTGGGACATGACATGTGACGCCAGATGGTGTGGGTATCCCAAGTATTTCATGAAGGTCTTGCCTCGTCGTCATTGCTGCAAGCTCCTGGATGCTGTGCCTTCACTCAGTGTTGTGATCGGTTGGAATAGCTGGTGGGCTGGGCTCCAGCCGCGGGCGAGGTGATGCATTTCTGTCAGTGCTTGGCGTGGTGAGGGCAGGTGTACCATCAGCTACGCCCTCAGATTGAGAAGTGCATGTATAGCGTCCTTGCTCCTAGTAGCGATGCCCTTTGTTCCTAGTAGGGTCCTTGCTCCTAGTAGTAAGGCCAGGAGCCCCTAGTAGCGTCCCTGCTCCTAGTAGGAAGGCCAGGAGCCCCTAGTAGCGTCTTGGCTCCTCGTAGTAAGGCCAGCAGCCGCTAGTAGCGTTAGTAGTGAGGCCAGGAGCCCCTAGTAGATTCCTTGTTCGTAGTAGTAAGGCCAGGAGCCCTAGTAGCGTCGTTGCTCCTAGTAGCAAGGCCAGGAGCCCCTAGTAGCGTCCTTGCTCCCAGTAGTAGGGCCAAAAGCCCCAGCAGCGTCCTTGCTCCTAGTAGCAAAGCCTGTGTGTACCCTGCTTGCTCCTAGTAGTAAGGCCAGGAGCCCATAGTAGCGTCCTTGCTCTTAAAAGCAAGGCCAGGAGCCCCAGTAGCGTTGTCCTTGCTCCTAGTAGTAAGGCCAGGAGCCTCTGGTAGCGTCCACGCTCCTAACCTGGCAGTAAGGCTAGGAGTCTCCCTAGTAGTGTCCTTGCTCCTAAGGGTAGTGGTAAGGCCAAGAGCGCCTACTAGCGTCCTTGCTTCTAGCAGCAAGGCCAGGGGCCCCAAGTAGCATCCTTGCTTTAGCAGTAAAGGATCCCCTAGTAGCGTCCTTGCTCCTACTATTCAGAGCCCCTAGTAGCGTCTTTGCTCCTAGTAGTGAGGCCAGGAGCCCCTAGTAGCGTCCCTAGTAGCGTCCTTGCTCCTAGCCCCTAGTAGCGTCCTTACTCCTAGTAGTTAGGCCAGGAGCCCCTAGAAGCGCCCTTGCTCCTAGTAAGGCCAGGAGCTCCTAGTAGCGTCCTTGCTCCTAGTAGTAAGCCAAGGAGCCCCAAGTAGCGTCCTTGCTCCTACCAGTAAGGCCAGAGCCCCTAGTAGCGTCCTTGCTCCTTACTACCAGGAGCCCTAGTAAGGCCAGGGGGCCGTAGTAGCGTCCTTGCTCCTAGTAGTAGGGCCAGGAGCCCCTAGTAGCGTCCTAGTAGCACGCTTGCTCCTAGTAGACAGGCCAGGAGCCCCTAGTAGCGTCCTTGCTCCTAGTAGTAAGGCCAGTAAGGCCAGGAGCCCCTAGTAGCGTCCTTGCTCCTAGTAGTAAGGCCAGGAGCCCCTAGAAGCGCCCCTGCTCCTAGTAGGGCCAGGAGCCCCTAGTAGCGTCCTTCCTCCTAGTAGTAAGGCCAGCAAGGCCAGGAGCCCTAGTAAGGCCAGGGGGCCCTAGTAGCGTCCTTGCTCCTAGTAGTAAGGCCAGGAGCCCCTAGTA